TTTTTTTTTTTTTTTTTTTTTTTTTTTGCTGTTTTTGCTGTTTTTGCTGTTTTGAAAAGTAATTAAATGTAGGAAATCACACTTTAAAGGTCGATCGTGTCATGCAAATTATTTATAAGAAAAAATATGAAAAATAAATATTTATATATTTACAAAATGGGTTAGTTAACAGCCTTCGACGATTTCAGGAAAGTCTTTAACCAATTTAATGCTAACATCTTTAATAACAGCATTGTTTAATCCAGCAAACGTCTGTGAAATTAATAAGGTAAAAATTAATAAAAATTAATTTCTCCATAACAAAATTTCGAAAGATTTTCAAATTTACTTACCTCTTTATAAGAATTATTTTTGAAAGGTCTATCAAGTGGATAACCCATGGGTTTATTGTCGGGATATTTATCAGCAGGCTTTTGAGCACCGCAGAAACTAATACTTCCACACCTAATATTTTCTTTTGGTACTTCTACTTTATCTTCAGACCAATCGGAAATAAATACTAACAATTTAAATTTCATTCCTCCTTTCCTTCCTCTGGGCAGTAATAAATGGAAAGGCCAACCACAATCACAAAATGTGTCATTAGTATTAATTCCTTCTGCATCTGGAGTAGTATCAATCGGAAGAGCTGTATCGTCTAATTCATCATCGGTTTTCTGCGGAGGTTGACGTACGATTGATGACATATCACAATCACGACATACTACCGTTTTAGAATTAGCAGGTAAACTTTCTTTGAATTTATCTAATTCAATCCAATGAACTCTTGATTCAGCTAATTCCTCTGGTACTAGAAAGACGCGGAATGTAGCTATAAATTCACTTGCTGAAGTATTTTCAACACGGAAATAATAATAAAATTCCCTAGGGAATAAAAAATCTATCTCCTCAGTTGATCCTGAATCTGCAATATGTGTCCACACTCTAGTTTTCATTTTTGTTTCTAATTCATTTGTAACAATATCATTTTTTGATACGTCCTTACAAAAATTTTCTCCACCAAATGATTTTTTACCAAATTCAGCTGCTTCTTCATCTTGGGTTTCTCCATGGTGTATAGGCAGTTTATCTTTGAATACAAGAATGACATCTTGAAGTTTTACAGGTAGTGATTTGGAAAAGTCATTTGGTTCTTGATTTTCTTCCCATGTTTTGACCAGATTATCTATATGACGATGCCATCTCCAAAATACCGGATCACGTGCAGCAACGCGTGTTTGAGACATCACACCAGGATCATCAGTTATGTTTCCTATAATAAGGTGACCACTTCCATGTAAACCTATATTATCACCATAATATTTAAGACCATAATATTCAATCAAATGTTCAACATTGCCATTTTGATAAGATTCGAGAACAGCGCCCAACGTATCAATATCGATCTTGGTATCATTATAAAATTTACCACAATTAACAGCTTTTTCGATCTTTTCACGAGATGTCTGCATGTCTTCAGTTTTGAGTTCTTCAGTTTTATCCTTACTACTAGGAATATTACGAAGTTGTTTCTTATGATCACGAGAACCAAATGTAGAGTAAGGATCATTTCTATCTTCTGCATCAACCAAATTTTCGTTAGGATGATATCCTTCCTCAATTGGGGCAGAATAATCATCAAGAGGTTTAACCAAAGATAAACCCAGTCCAATACGTTCGATATCATATCTTGCCAGCATTTGTCGATGCATATAAACGAACAATTCACCATGTCGATCCTTATGAACACGTTTTGTCAAAGGATTATCAAGATCAGGTACACCAGTAGCACCATAAACGATATGCCAATGCTCGTGATGCTCATTGAGATTAGGATCTTCTCTATACCAATTCATGTATAATTCAGGGTTTTCACCTTCAGTTTCCTTAAATTTTTCAGCAGTTGAAACTTGCTTCTTCTTGGGAACAGTAGATCCAGGAGAACGCTTAATCAATGGAGGAATACGCAAATTTTTGTTACGAGCAGACGGATGATGAGAAATAAACATCATTAAAGCATGACGAACTAATTCGAGATTCGAAGTTTCAGATGCTTTATTCGCGTGTTCAACAACTTTCTCGATGGCATTATCAGGATTTTTGTTTGCGATTTCCATAAATTCCGCAGAGAGTTTAAAGGCATCCTCAGCATGTCCAGGGTGAAACTGTTAGAAAAGGTTTAAATTAGTTATGATAATGACATCGAATAATCGTATATATTTATATCAAATTTATTAACATACATGACTGAATTTAAAATTTTTATCTGACTTGTTATGATTATCATGGGTTTCAAAGAATTGGTTGAGAAGTTTTTGATCAGGAGATACTTTTCCACCTTTCTTTTCAGTCTTTAATCCTTTTCTTGCTTTAGCGAGAGACATTTTGTCAATAAAAAGATTGAGTTTTTAAGAAACAAAGAGTAATTTGAAATTTGAAATTTCTTTTGTGACAAAAGAAAAAAATAAAATAAAATAAATCGTTGCAAATGTTGCAAATATTAAAAATTTTTTGAAACCGTAGCGAAACGGTCAAAAAAAAAAAGAGAATGAATGGTTGTGAAAATATATATATATATATATATATATATTTTTTTTTTTTTTTTTTTTTTTTTTTTTTTTTTTTTTTTTTTTTTTTTTTTTTTTGTAATTTACAATAACTTGTTTTACGCGGGAAAATAAGGAGACCTTAAATGGACATATTAATTTTACAAGACACGTTGTAGCAGTCTTGCACATTGTTTGGTACAAGTCACAGATCATCATGAGAAATGGAATCATACGTGTATCATATACACGTAAGATTCCATTAAAATCTTTAGGTATAAAAATGAATTACAAAGACTATAATAATAATAATAAAATAATAAGCATTGGTCGTTCAAAAATAAACAACAAATAAAGTTATCTTTTTTTAATTAATCTAAACGATTAAAAAAAAAATGAGTCATTATACTTTTAACTAAGAAAATGCGTAGCATATACAGCATATACATATAACTAATTATTTAATAGCATATGATTGCACAGAAAAAAAAAACTAATAATAGAGAGAAGTTGTACTATCGTTATTATGTATACACCAATGCTAATAATAAAACTGTTGATGTAAAATAGGTACCCCTTGCGTTATCTTACGTTAGTCATATGATCATATGGGTCATATAAAATTATATTAAATTTTATTATGAGTCATCCGGGAGAATGATAAAAGGCTTTTATTATCTTAATCAGTAATTAAAAGATTGTATTTAACTTATTTGGAAAATTTCAATAAATGATATTATTATAGAATTTTAGTTATATAAAAAATTTAGTTTAAATTTAACAAAAAAGCTTAAAAAAAAAAAATTGCTAATTTTATTTTACTCCGGAGGATTTTTTTTTTTTTTTTGACCATTTCTAGTATACAAAAAAAAAAGCAACTAACCGGTTATTTCCCAATGTCAATATTGTCAGATGATCATTATTTAATGTCACACAACCGGATATTGATAATTTGAATAATTTCATATGACTACTTTTAGATTCCGCAGTGATTATTTTTTTTCATGGAATTTAAGCTAAATCTGAAATTAACGTTCAAAATAATGAATTAAAAAACTTGTTTATCTTTTACACGATGGCTTACTTTTTAATTTTGTGCACATAAATTGTTTCCCACAGGCACGCACATTAGTACAAATCACAATTAACCGTTTTTTTTTTTCGTGTTTATTATCGGAAGCCATGAAAATTTCGGGCCGTACACGACTAAATATTTATCAATCAATGAATTAAGCTAATTCAAGGAAATGATTGTTTTTCTAAAAACTGCAAAGTTGTGATCCATTTTTCATAAGACAAGAATTTGTTATCAAAATGGCTAAAAAGGAAAAAAGGAAAAAGAAAGAGCTCCGATTCAAATTTACTCAAATTTATTATCGAAAAATCATCAAAAAGAAACTATAATTATTCGTTATAATTAAACTTACTATTTTCGTTATTATATGTTATTAAACAAGATGTTTTATATATCACCCCGATGCATATTGCATTAAATATGACAATTATAGCACAAATGGCTCAAATGTTATTTATTGTGTGACAATATTAAAGCACAAATAGCTCAAAGTGTTACAATATTAAAGCACAAATAGCTCAAAATGTTACAATATTAAAGCACAAATAACTCAACTGTTCAAGTGTTATTTATCACCCTCATGACATATATGGTCAATAGACAAAATAGCATAGGGAGTGTGAACAAATTATGATAATTCTTCACGATTAAGCATTATACATGTAATATATGTAATATGCGTATGTTACTTCTAATATTACGTAATTAAAAAACGATATCAAAAAATACAAAAAATACCATTCGCATTTTAAAAAATATCATGCATCAGATTATGATAAACTTTTTTAAACTCTTACATATTCTCTCACATATCTCTATGCATAATTTTATGATGACTCATTCATTTTCATAATATCGAATTCTATAATTCTATTTACAAAATGCATTCGAAAGTTTCCGTGCATCTTTTTTTTTGATTCTAAATTTCGAAAATTTCAATTTTAATTTTTAATTAAACAAAAATGATTAAAAAAACCTGAACCGAAGTTTTTAATTTTTACTAATAAAGTAATGTTCAATAAAAAATTTAAAATGGAAATTGCGCCTAAATAGCCTAAATACATTATCGTACTTGCCAATTGTAATTATTCCTTTTCTTTGTAAAACATCAAAAAAAAAAAAACGCCATCCCAAAAATTTTGAATTTCATAAAAAATGAAACCTTCTTTACGTTTTCCATAATATCCCGCATTTTTACTTAACTTAAAAAAGATTTTAGTATGCATGAATAATTTGATGATAAACGTTAAATTAGTACAACCCTAATGCATCGTTCTCTGATAGTAAATGCATCAAAGTCGTTGTACTCCCATGTAATCATGTAATCATGTAGTTCTCGTCTTTTAATTTAACGTAATTGTTTGTTTAATGTCCCGACCTCCTTTAATGTTTCGAAAAAAAAAAAAATTAAAACTTTAAAAAAAATATTATCAAACAAATATAGTTATCAGACTTTTATTGCGATTAACGCGATTAGAAACTTTTTTCATCTCTGGTTAAGGCTTTTCCGTGTCTGAAATTTGCTAATATTTATATTATGTAAGAACAATTCTTTTCAAAACTTCTAGAATCAAAGAAAAAAAAACTGTGCATATTGTCATACGTACGGGGAAATTATTATCCGATGACCTTTCATGACGGCATTATATAATACCGACTGCCATTATCAAACTAACCTTTTAATATATAGCTATTTGAACCAAATATAGGTTAAATCTGGTTTTTGTGTAATTTGTTCATAAATTAGAATTGACGATCACAGGAGTCTTTTTTTTTTTTTTACAAAACTTTTTTTCACAAAAACACCAAACTTTCTTATAATATCGTTCTATTCAATAAACAGTCTAATTTTGCATAACCTAATTTATACATAAAAAATGAACCGTTCGAAATATGTAAAGAAATTAACCGATATAGCGAAAGATTATTTTAAAGATGACAAGTATGTATCAATCATTTTAAGTTTCATTATTAATTATTTTTAAATTATTCATTAGTTCAGACACTTCAATAGATAATTATATTTACAATCTTATTCTATAATATTACATCTTAGTATTACATCTCATCCTTTTCACCTATTTACGTCATCAGTTCAAGTTAATTCTTTTCTCCGCTTGTATCACCAAGGCCGTTGCGATATAGATATAGAAGCATCCCTTGTTATTGATATATGAAATATCTTTACCTTACTCCTTTTTCCACTTTTTTCTCCGTCTCCTCTCCCATCATCTCTTTTATCTCGCCATCACCTATTCCGCTGAGGTATAGATATAGAAGCATTCCTTTGTCTTCTCTGATCATATTATACCTCTCCCTTCTCCATCATCTAGGCCGTTGAGATATAGATATAGAAGCATTCCTTGCTAGTAGTTTGCAAGTGGATATTTCTGTCTTCTCTGCTCATATTATACTCTCCCTAGGCCGCTGCGGTATAGATATAGAAGCATTCCTTTCTGCTAGGTTGATGGAAATAAGATTCAAAGTGAAATCATGATATCATTCCAAGATTATCCAACTGAAAATAAAAACCTCCTTCACCAAGTCAATTCAATTTATTCTCATCGACAATTTAACATCCTCCTTCGCCAAGTCAATTTGACTTACCTCCTCCTCTCCCATCATCTCTTTTATCTCTCCTTTCTCCTGAAATAATATCAAGTCTTTCTAAATATTATAAACCTGAAAATAAGAAGTTAATTATTAACTTATTCCAACTCACTTTACCTTACTCCCTTCGCCACCTCCTTCGCCACTTCCTTCGCCACTTCCTCCCTTCCCTCATCGCCCCTCCCCCGCCACCTCCATCATCACCTCTTCTTTCTCCCTCCCCCACCTCCTCCCTCATCACCTCTTCTTTCTCCCTCCCCCCACCACCTCCCTCATCACCTCTTCTTTCTCCTCTTATCCTTCCACCTATTTAACGTCTTGTTGTTCATTAGTTCAAGTTAATTCTGTAATAAAACAATAAAATTATTCATTTAATATTTTCTTTTAAAATGCAATTTATTTTTTTTATTTATTTTTTTTGTAAAACATATATAATAAATCACTCATTATATTAAAATATTTTCCGTCAAGATTGATAAAATAATTGATCATACATTTCTTTGCTCTTAAAAAAGACTATTCATAATAAAAGGGTTAAAAAGAGCTTGAGGTCAAATCCGTGATCAAAATCTTGAAGTTATTTATAAATACATTTAAAAAGTATTAATTGATAATAGATTTTTATCGAGATCAAAGAACGCTTTCACAGGTTCGCTCAAAATGCCAAAACCAAAATATCATGATTATTAACAAATTTTTTTTTTCATTAAATTAAAATTCCTTAAAGGGTCTATTTTCACGAAAATACAATAATTATTAATGTCTAAATTGATAACTAGTTAAAATATTTTAATTTTTTTTTAAAAAAAAATACAAAGATATGATAAATATATTATTTTTTAAATTGTTTTTTTTTTTCTTAAAAAAAGTTATTTTATATTAAACTAAAATATTCGCTTTTTCTAGATAAATAAGTTTTTTTTTAAAAAAAAAGAAGCAAGATAGAAATAATTATCTATCATCACTAGACCTTAATCTCATTCTTTCTTCTCTATCATTATCTTCACTATCTTGATATCTACTTCCTTGATTTCGTTCTCTGATCTTATTTCTGCTAGCATTACTTGTTGATCCATGGTTATCATCTTCTGGATCACTATCTCCAAAATGATCTACATCATCTGATTGGAATAATGGTGATTCTATCACCAATTCATCCCTATATATCAAAAATTAATTTTTAGTTTGATAATTCAAAGTATTTTTCATGAATGCGTAAAAAGAGTAATTTACATACATTTCACCCATTTGACTTTCAACAGCAGCTTTCATAGCTTGACTTGCATTTCTATTACGTCTTCTTGATCTATTACGCCATATAATTGCTCCCAATCCAACTATTGCGAGTATAACGATTACAAGCGTAAACGTTCCACTATTAAAAAAAAAAAAAAAATTTTTTTAATATATGAAATATTAATGATTAAAAAGTCTAAGATGATGCATCAAATAATACTAACGCGTTATAGTATTTATCAATCTTTTCATTAAAGGATGTATCGGTACTTATATCATCATCAGAATTCTATTTCAATAAAAGAAATTTAGTATAATCTCTTCATTACGCTCCTGCTTTCATTCTTACTGAAAAGCTTGCTTACCTCAAATCCAATACTAGAAGGCCATTTACTAACAAGATGATGATTCAATCCCATAAATCTATACATCATATCCATACTAACTACTGGTTTGTCATAAGGTACCATATGGCTCGAATTATAAACCACTACATATGTTAAATTTCTTTCTGATAATATGTATCCTGCTTTTGTGTGATTTACAAAATATGGTAGTGTTGTAAGATTCTAAATTTTAGAAACTTTTGTTAGGATATATATTATTCTTAAATTAAATTATAAATTATTTAACAAATTTTATCTACTTGGAATCCTTTATGTCCGTTCCATTCTAAATTCTCTAACATATCATTTGTTCCGTTTGTGTTGCAAATTAAATCCTGATCTCCACTATCAAATAAAAAATTTATATAAATTAATTGAACAAGTTACGAGTAATAAGTAAATTCAACATACCTATATAACAATACATTGATTTGTTTTAACAAAGCGGGGAGTAGCTATAAAATAAATAAATAAATCAGCGGCCATATATATGAAAAAAAAAATCCTTTTAACAATATTGCAGATACTTACGGTAACAGAAGGCGGACTATTATCATTATCAAAACCTCTTCCGACTCCATGATTACATTCAACCCATCCAAGTTGCTGATTTTCTGCATGAATAGCTCCAATAACATCAGCTCTCTACGAAAAAAAAAAAATTTTATTAATTTTTTTTTTAATCAAAACTAAAACTTCTTATATTGTGTGAAAGAAAATTCAATTACTCTTAAATATTGTGTAATATCGGAAAGTTCATAAGGCCATTTAGACCCACAAGAAGGATAAGAATCTGAATGATCTCTAATATCATATTGATTTATACATGTCTCATTTTCTCCAACTCTAAAACATAAAAAAAAAATTTTTTTTCAATAAATGTAATACGACACATTAACAGTATTTGACTTAATGATATTACTACTTTTGAATGGAATGTTTTAGAATAGTTTGAAGAATTTGTTCGCATATATCTAAATGTATAGTTGGTTTCTTTTTCTGTTCTTTCATACATTTTTTCAATTGTTTTTCAGCCGTATCCTGAAAAAAAAAAATTAAGAAAAAAAACAAGAATAAATTTTTGAAAAAATTAGAATAAAATTTTTTAAAAATTAGAATAAAAAAAAAATAATAATTACCTTATCTTCTCCATCTAATAATCCTTTTTCAACTGAAAAAGTGTAATAAGCATTGTACTAAATATAATAATATTTTGTATTAATATATGGTTATTAATTGCTTAGTAAATTCATCTTTTTGTTGTTGATCCATACCTGCGAAACTGGATCGATCCAACCATTACCAATAGCGATACCTTTTAAATTATACTAAAAAAAACCAAGATAATTCATAAATATTTTACTTTAGAAAGAAACTTGATATTATTGAAGATCAAAATACCTTTCTATAATCAGGGGTTTTCCTTTCATGATTTCTCTTCAAAATAGAAGAAGCCATATATGGAATAAATGTACCAGCAAAGCTTTCCCCGCTTATATACAACTAATATTAAGTATAAAAAATTAACGAATGAACTTTAATAATATTAACAATCTCTTTAGATAATATAACTTACATGGTCCTTGGAATATTCAGGAAAGGTGTCAAAAAAGTTATCAATAAACAATAGGAAATGTGATACTATCTAATATAAACAAATAAAATTTTGATTAAAATTAATTCATAATAATCATTTCTTAAATTTCTTAATAAAATACCTCTGTCATATTTTTCGGATAACTATTACTATTAGCAAAACTAAAACCTGTTCCTACGGGAAAATCCACTATAAACCATTAAACACAAACGATGTTAATATTAATAACTCAATTCTTTTTAATGAATTAATATTAAAAGCACACAATTATTTTTTACCATATAATACATTGGCATATTCATCCCATGATCCATCAGTTAATCTTAAAGTTTGATCATGATTCATTCTCCAAGGTCCATTCTCAAGAAATAGTCCGTCCATACTAAATAAGTTAAAGATATTTAATATTTAAATAATTAAATTAATTAAAATAATTAATCATATACTTTGCTTCAAAAATACGTATAAACTTACCTTGAACTAAATTAATTAAGAAAAAAAAAAAAAAAAAAAGATTGAAATCAATGAATTAAAAGTTATCAAAGATCTTTGCCCTCCTTACCCTCCTTATCATCCTTTCCCTCCCTAAACTTACCACCCGGGACCTATTCAAATCAATTTAAAACAATTTAATATAAAAATACAGAATTAGGACTTGTAAATTAAATTAAAAAAGATCAATATTTAAACTACATACCTCCATTAAGCCAAATGACCTAATTAGACAAGTAATTAAATAAAAAAAACAAATTAGCATAAATATATAAATTAAAAACAAATACAAAAATTTTACGTTAAATTTCAATTAATCTTACAAATTTGGGTATATTAGGAATATGTCGATTATGAATTAACCAAAAAAAAACATTTGAATTTGTTTTTCCATCAATTGTAATATGTCTAAATAAATAAATTATAATAATTTAGCATTAATAAAATTAACGTTAATAAAATAAAATCACATAAAATTTTACCCAGCATGAAGTTTCAAATTTGAATTATCTGGTAGACCAGGTAAAGAACTCACGAAATATTTTGAGGCTAAAAAAAAATTAACGAAGGTTCATAAGAAACTAAGATCGAAACATTTAAACTACGATTAAAAAACTTTATTGCGTTTTACCATCGGCAGCATCAGTAATTCTATAAAAAGCTGATAAAAGTAGCCCTATTCCTAGAGCCAAAAGTTTTAAACTACACTTCATATCTAATCCTCAAAATTAAAGAGTTTAATAAATCTAAAAATAATATTTTAATCTTTCTCAAACATTCTAATTAATAATTAATTAAAAAAAGAAGAAACGGACTAGTGATGTAGTACAAAATTTTTTGAATAGTATTAGTGCGTAGATCATTACGTAGATCTGATCGAGACTTTTCGTTAAAGTCAACGTAGTAATGGTAATATTGTAAAAATTTCGTGTTACTTCATTATCTAGTCTTTTTAATGGACGCTCTAATAATAAAACATAATCAGAGAAAATTTATAGTTATATTATATTCAAAAACATTTTGATCTTTTTTAAATCGATCACGACAAAAAGGTCATTTAAATAAAGAAAATAAAGGATTAAATATTAAAAGGGATAAAAAAAAAATCTATAAATAATTTTACAAATCATAATTTTCTAAATAAAAATCTTTTTTTTAAGATTTATGCGCGATTTGTTAATTTATATATATTTAGAATTTACGATTAAAATTAAGGAATAGTTTTACGCTTATTTATATTAGCACTCGTATAAATCCGCAGTAAGATAAATATGATAATATAATAAGATTAAATGGATTTATATTATTATGTTTACAGTATAGTTTTTTGAAGTCTTGCACGACATTAACACATAATTTTCCAATGATTTTTGTCTTGGCATTGAAAGATTTCAACAAAAATTTCCAAAAAAATAGTCTTGGCAATACCCAAATTAGGAATCGTATAAATATGGACCATGTGTGCCAAGAATTTTGAACTACATTTTCCTTTTTTCAGTTCAGATAATTATTATTCTTGACCTTCGTAATTTTCGGGATTTTTTTTTAATAAATAAATACTTTAAGAAACTTAAAAAAAAGGAAATTTTTTCTTTTCTTTTTTTTTTTTAAAAAAAAAAAATATTTCTCCTTTTTTTAAAAAAAATATTATTTTAAGGTTTTGTCACAAATATACTTAAAAAAACATATTAAATATTTCTACATTCGGTTATATCTTCTATCAAGAATTTTCTTTACGTTAAAAAACAACAACAACAATAATAATAGTAAAATGTCGACTACAACACAAGATTCTCTTATTCAAACACCGACATTAATACCATCAATTTGTTTTTTCATAACGTTCACATTAATGACATTACTTCACTTTGTCAAATATATTAAATTTAAAAGAGCGATATATTTATATTTATTAGTATTCAGTTTATTAAGAACTATTCTTTTCATTATTCGTATTGCATGGTCACCAAATCCTGATTTAACACTTTTAGGAATTATTTCAAACGTTTTATTATTAGGAGGATTCTTTGTTATACTTGAAGCTTTATATAAATTATTAACAGATTGGCTTCACTTATTAATTGGAGAAAGGACAATTTCTTCTTTACCAAAATGTGAACAAAATTCAATAATATTTTTAAAATTAATTTCACCATTATTTTCAATAATAGGAGCAATAGGAGAAGCACTTGCAACACAAAATATTTCATTAACCTCAATATTTCGTCAAGCTTCTTCATTAGGATTTTTATGTTTAATAGTTATTTATATATTATTAGTAGCTCATTTTGCTTTAAAATATGGTGAAGTAGCAATTAGAAAACAGTTGAAAGCTTTGGTATTATTCATTTCAGCTGCTTTATTATTAATTGAATTAGTTTATAGAACATTTGTTTCCTTCTCACAAGAATCCACTCCTATATATTATGAATGGGTATTTTATGTATTTGAATGTGTACCTGAGGCTGCTTTACTTCTTATTTTAGGTGAAGTTATCTTGGGTGAATGGTTTTATAATGTGGATGATGATAATAAGTTAAAAATGGCTCAACAATTAGCCAAATTACGTTCAAAGGGGAAATTTGGTGCGAACATGATTAATAAAATTCATCAAAAAGAAGAAAAAGAAGGAGAATCGAATTCTCAGGAAGATTCATCAAATATAATTGTTATAAGGATGGATGATGATGGCAAATTATCACCAATAAATTCAACAGATAATGCAAATAATACAGCAACAGATATAACAAAAGCAACAACAAAAAATACAAATGCAAATACAAATGTCAATTCAACGGATTCAACTGTATAACGGCATTTAACATGTATAATAATAATTATATCTATCTCCTTAAAAACCAGTAATAATTGTAATAACAATAATGATATTATTGATATAGCTTTTTTTTTACTTCATTTTACTTGTATGATATTTTTTTTTTATATATATATATAATATATATAACTTTGTAAAAAAACACTTTACTTATGATAGACGTTTCATTTTTTTTTATTAAATTAAAATTTTATTTAATAATTACTTATGCTGTATAACATTATAAACCTTATTTAACATATATGGCAAAAATATTGCTTATGTAAAAATTTGGTTTAACGGCAGTTATGTGCGTGAAATCACAAAAATCACATGATTCATTGTCTATTCCAGTTTAGATCCAACATGATAACAGATATCTAATCGACAAAAAAAATTTTTTTTTTTTTTTTTTTTTCAATTCAAAATTTAAATATTATCCTACTGTTTTTTAAAAGAAAAAGAAAATTAATAAACAATAAAATTTTCATACGTTTTTAAATTAAATTTATAATTAATTAAATAAATTCTAAAATAATTCCGCTTGAAAATTCTTTACAAATTCATATTCATTCCCAAAAAAATCATTCTTGAAATCCGCGATTTTCAATCTTATAATCTTTTCAAGGTAATGGGTCATATTATTACTTTTACTACTTTCTTTCGATAAGTCATTAAATATTCGATCTTTATTAATTCTCAATAAAAGTAGGAATCTTATAATGATGTCTAACCTTGTAAGAAAAAGTTCTGGTGTGGCAGGTCAAATAGCCGGTCAAGTTCAAATGTAACTATGATTTATTATAAAAAAAGTAATGTTAAATATTTTACCTTAATTAATTAAAAAAAAAAAATCATTTATAGTCATAAAATAAGAAGGTATAGCGGTAGTAGCACTACAGAAATAAATAAATATAGTAAAAATATTACTCAATCAAAATCACAAGGAGCTTCTCAAGCAATGTGTAAGAAATAAAACATTATTCCATTTCGTGTGTTTGACGCACCTTAATTAATGTATTAAAACTTTCTTTTTCTTGTAGTATATGCAACAGGTTTAAAACTTGAGGATATGGATAAAGCACAAGTTGGAATCAGTAGTGTGTAGGTTTTATTAATATCATTATAATGTATCCCATTTATCAAGTTTTTTTTTTTAAAAAAAAATTGATTTTTATTATAGATGGTACGAGGGTAACCCATGTAATATGCATTTATTGGATTTAGCAAATAAAGTAAAAGAGGGTGTAGCAAAGGCTGGAATGATTGGATATAGATTTAATACGGTTGGCGTTAGCGATGCTATTAGTATGGGTACAAGAGCTATGTGTTATTCATTACAAAGCAGAGACTTGATCGCTGATTCAATAGAAACGGTAAGATCATAATTAACGTTATTTGTTTTATATAATTTATTATTTAATATATATATTTTTTTAAAAGGTTATGGGGGGACAATGGTATGATGCAAATATAGCAATACCTGGATGTGATAAAAATATGCCAGGTTGTTTAATTGCAATGGCACGTCATAATCGTCCATCATTGATGATTTATGGTGGTACTATACGTCCAGGAATTTGTGGAAAAGGGAATATAGATGTCGTCTCAGCATTTCAATCATATGGATCTTATGTTTCTGGAAAAATTACTGAAGAAGAAAGATATGATATTGTAAGAAACGCATGTCCTGGACCTGGTGCTTGTGGTGGAATGTACACTGCTAATACAAGTAATATTAAATTTTTTTTTTTTTTAAAAAAAAGATGCTTTGGCTAAGATATTCTATTTAAATGTAAATATTAATTTATTTTAATAGTGGCATCGGCTACTGAAGCGATGGGAATGTCACTTCCATATAGTAGTTCAATACCAGCAGAATATCCAGAAAAAATTGAAGAATGTTTAGAAGCTGGTTGGGCTATTAGAAATTTGTTAGAAAAGGATATTAAACCAAGAGATATCATGACACGTAAAGCATTTGAAAATGCAATTGTTCTTACAATGATATTAGGTGGTTCTACTAATGCTGTATTACATTTAATTGCCATTGCTAAATCTGTTGATGTACCGTTGAATTTGGATGATTTTCAGAAAATTAGTGATAAAATTCCATTTTTGGCTGATTTGAAACCAAGGTAAATTATTTTAGAAATGGGGGGAAAAAAGGATTTCAAATTTACTTTGTTTTTTTTTCTTTTTAGTGGAAAATATGTTATGGAAGACTTACATAAAATTGGTGGAATACCAGGTAAAAATAATAAATTATATAAATTATAGTAATTTATTTTTATTTTCACATCTCATATATCTAACTCTCCTTATTTAACTGATTATATATAGCGGTATTAAAATATTTGTTGGAAAATGATTTAATTCATGGAGATATATTAACAGTAACAGGACAAACTTTAGCGGAAAATTTATCAGATGTTCCAAAACTTTCATTTGAAGATCAAGATGTAATTCATCCGTTATCAGATCCAATAAAATCAACAGGACACATACAAATTTTATATGGTAATTTAGCTCCTGATGGATCCGTAGCAAAAATTACTGGTAAAGAAGGTTTGAAATTTGAAGGTGTCGCAAAAGTTTTTGAAGGCGAAGTAGAAATGTTGAAAGCTTTTGAAAATGGTGAAATTAAGAAAGGACAAGTTATCGTTATTAGATATGAAGGTCCTCAAGGTGGTCCTGGAATGCCCGAAATGTGTAAGTATTACTATGAGTTATATTTTGTTTAAAGAAATATATATTCATGTAAGAATTTTTGAATATATTACAGTGACACCTACAAGTGCAATTATGGGAGCGGGACTTGGACAAGATGTTGCCTTATTAACTGATGGTAGATTTTCTGGTGGCAGTCACGTAAGTTGTGAAATAAATAAATAAATGATTTATTCCAAACTTAAATATTTCTATTAATAATTTAACTCTAATAGGGTTTTATTATTGGACATATAACACCTGAAGCACAATTGGGAGGTCCAATTGCTTTGTTAAAAGATGGTGATCGTATTACAATTGATACATATAAGAAATCTATAAGTGTTGATATAAGTGAAGAAGAATTTTCAAAGAGACGTTCTACTTGGAAAGCACCACCTTATAAAGCTACCAAAGGTACTTTATACAAATACATTAAGTGTGTTAAAACTGCTACTGAAGGCTGTGTGACTGATGAGTAGAAAATGAGGGTTACAAAATTATTTTTTTTTTGTAAAATGTAAAAAAACTTCTAATGAAGGATTTTTAGTTGTTAATAACGCTAAATTATCTGTTAAAATTGTTAAAATTCTTTTGTTTTCTTTTCTTTATAAAAAAAAAAAAAATAATAAATTCTATTTATTTGATTCTTATTTTTTTAAAAAATAATAAAATGAACGCGTTAAAATTTAAAAAACTGACAAAGAATGATCGTGCTCACGCGAAATTAAATAATGAATGCCGTACATTGAATACATGCTATTAATCTATACTCATATCGTCATCTTTGCGAAGATAAACAGAGCACCCTTCGATCTGTCCGAGACAGAACAAAAGCTCGTACTTTTTTAAAATTTATTGAGAATTCGAATCTAGTCAGTTGGAGGATATTCTATGTCGTAGAGCAAGTATATGGTTGAAAAATCCAAATAAATGAAAAAAAAAATCAGAGACGAAAAAATAAATTTACTAATTATAACTTTAGATATCTAAGATATCAAATCACACAAAAAAAAAAAAAATAAAAAAAAGCGGTGATATTATGTGAATTATATATTATATCTTTTTGGCGCATGTATTTACCCCTAACATTGACAATAAAATATTTTCCCATCCTTCGCTATGATTTCGTTATGATTTTTCTTTTTTTAAAAAAATGTGTAGACTAAACAAAGTTTGGCATTTAGTGTTTTAGACTTTTAGTTTCAGCTGATTGTTGCAATTGTAAATGAAACACTTTAATGAATTGTTAATGAAACTCACCTTAATAAAGATATTTAATTAAAAGGCTAAAAAAAAACACATTATTTTAAGATAAATCGTTAATTTGGTATCACTAAATCACGAGTTTAAATGGCAATATACAATGGTCCGGTGAATTATTATTAGTAAAAAAAAAAAAGTGACAATCCAAAAATACATAGTAATTCACAAAATGATTATTTATAAAAAACTACTTTGTTTTTAATTGTAAGGAATTTTGGATTCCAAAAATGATTGGAATCAACATGGTTTTTTTTCGGCAACTTTGTGGGAAGTTTTTTTTCCGAAATCTTTTGTAGGACAAAGGGACTAATAGGCGAGAATTTCCATCAGTAATCAGCCACATAATATCGGCTAGTATTAAAGTTTATTTTACGTAATCACATGCCAAGCTTCTTTATTCTTTATAACAGATTTTGCCACAAATTTTCATTATAATGGGAATAATCGGCTACATACCATTATTACAATTAAATGGGAATCTTTTTTGAAAGTTTCTATAAATAAATTAATGCGTATATAATGATAAAAATAACCTTAATAGGTTAAATTATTTTCATTAATTAGGTTAACTTGCCGACTAAACTAAGTTAAATCTTTAATTCAGGCTGGAGTTAAAATTAATTTAACTATCTTTAACAAATAAAGTAAATTTAAGAAAGTAACGGATTTTACATTGTAAAAATTTCTTAAAGTTCCCGAGATTGCCGAGCTTTTTCTAAAATTATCCGTTTAGCCGAAAGGAAATATGTTACAAAATTCTATATTTCTATAAGTAATATATAACCATAAAAGTAAATCTTTATATCTTCATAATGGTTACAATTGATGGCTTTTTAGCAGCTTTTGGATCGATTATAATAAGAATGAGAATTAACATTCTCCGGATATCGGAATCCAAAAAATTTTACCTTTATGACATATAATACAGGAAATCAATAATGATGATCAAAGAAATTAAGCTTATTTTGTTTCTTATTTTTAAATAAGTAAATTATTCGAATGACCAATAACAATGAAGTAAAAAAAAACACAGTATAAATAAAGCTTCATTCATCCTGGAATTTTTTTTTTTTTAAAAAATAAAAAAAATAATAATAAATTAAAAATATTATTTAAGAAATATACATTGTTTATAAAACGAAAATGGATCGTTACAATCAAAGACGTCAAAGAATTCAAAGACAACGAAATCGAAGGCGTGCAAGGATTAATAACAACGCAACGTTAAGAAGGATTTCAAACCTTCCTCGACAGAATCTTCCTCAGCAAAATATAAATGATTCATTCGATCTCCAATTTTTCTTCAATGGATCTACTTTCTATTAGATGAAATAAGAATTTTTAAATAAATTTTAAAGTACGTTCTCATTCATTAATCAACATAGCAATTTATTTACCAGTTACCCTATTTTGGAACTCATTGATCTTCATTTTGCATAATTAGTACGTCATGTGAAATGGTCACAACTCTATCATATTTCTTTATCATTGAAGTTCGAAATATTTTTATATATGATTACTTTTATTTCATTTTGTGATTAGTACTTGGTAGTTTTCTTTATAGCATTCAATACTTAGAAATACAGCAATGTAAATATAACCAGCTCCCTACATAGTTATACCTTTCTACATATAATCACATCATCAACAAATGTAAAAAAAAAACCACTTATATGAGATTATTATTTTAAGCCTTTTAAAAAAGGAAGGAATTATATTAATGTATGTAATTTAATAATAAAATAAGATTTTATTCAAGCATTTTTATCAATCCTTCTTGATTGATGCAAATAAATGTAAAAGAAATATTAAAAAAAAATAAAAAAAAAATATAGTAATGAAAAATTGAATTCCGTTTACTTAAAATACTTAAAATGCAATATTATCGGAATTATTTGAATTTATCGCCAGTTGAATTGAGACGCAGTGTTCGATTAAAAAATAGGGTGATTAAATACTACATGCCTGCTGCATAATTAGATAAAAATAGTCTACATGCTTGCATGCACTTACTAATTTTGGTTTATTGTGTAATAATTAGGATAATGACGCCACTTACCCTATAAAAAAGGAATGTTCAGAAAACATACATAAAATAAACATAAAATGTACATTATACATAAAATGTCTATAGAATGTCCATAGAATACATAGGATATATGCAAAGGGGACTCATATACTTTTTTGTACATTTTATATACAGTGAGCCCATTTTGTATATTTTTTATATATTTTATGGACATTCTATAGACATTTTATGTATATTGTATATTTTACGTATATATTCTAAACATTCCTTTTTTATAGGGTTAACATTTAACGATGCGTTATTGGTTAGTTAAGTATAATTAATGACTTCGGGTTAATTAATTAATTAAAAGAGTTGGAAAAAAAAAAGAACTATAAAATAACACATTACGTGAAAGTCAGGGAAACTCTTTAATTAAATCACAGCATTTCGAATTTCTGCAATATGATAGTCATTTTTATATCTGAATAGTAAACGAAATGTTAATTGAAGTATCTAGGTAAGATCATATACATTTGATTCAATATAAAAAAGGTTAAAACTCGGTTTAATAATCTTCGGGCTTTTGCGAATGTACACCATTTCTAAAATAAGGAGAATAATCTAGTTAGAAAACTTTTTCGGTTACAAAACTGCTGCAGGGTTCATGTTTAGTTCTATTTTTAAAGACAAATGAAATGAAAAACTGCGGAAATATATTCAATCGCTCCAAAAGAGGTTATACATATGGGTTACACGAGCTGACATTTTCTTGCATTTATGAAACTTTAAACACATACCTTTTGGCTTTTTCTTAAATCATTGTATTCTTGATTTATGTATGGCGTTAAATTGTGAAATTATTAAAGAGCATATGACCTTCAGAATTCAAAAATAACATCATTAGATTCTTACGTATTTAAATTACGTATGATATTGTGAAATTGTACTTAATTTTGGAATTCCATAATTATGTACGTTGCTAATCATTTATTATTATATAATATTAATCATATATATGACTACATTGAACATAATTTTCTCTATTCACTCGCTGCAAAGTAATTAATTGGCCGGTTGAATTTCAAATTTTGTTGATCTTTTAAGCAGGTATTTAAGCATAATTAAATTAATGGGAAGATCAATGCTAAAGATGGTTTAAAAAAATGAATGAATTAAATTAATTAAACAGTGCAAAGAAATATCTTTATTGTCGATCTTCCTTTTTAGTAAATTCCCTATGCGTGATGTAAGAAGAGTTGCAATGCAAGTAAATGCAAATTTTTTCTTTACCTTCATTCCTTCAATTTAATTTAATATAATAAGGGATGATAATTTTCATAAAAATAAGTCATCAAACGTTAAACAAGATGAAAAAAATGTATAAAAGTAACCAAATATCGTCTTTGTTTTTTTTCATCGTTAAATCAAAATTTGCATTTGTAAAGGATGGTTCGATCAAATCAATCCAAAAGTCAGAAAGGGCGTAGACTAAGAAGAAAAATTATAAATTATTATCGTAGACGCGCATCGAATGATGACACATACAGAAGGATCTTGAGACTACCCCCAATAAATTCAATTAATCCGTTCGTGAATCAACTATTCAACGGAGCTCCTTTCTAAATCCTTCAAATTGTCTTTTTTACATTATATATGTAATTTGATTTAAAAACTTTACTTTTTTTTCAACGCGTTCATGTAATTTGATTTAAAAAAATCTTACTTTATTTTTTTTGACGCGTTTTTAAGCTTTTTTTTAAATTATATGAAAAGATATCTTTTCAGTACATTATTATATATAGATAGTTTTCCTCCACAAACATTCGTACTTACGTTTTATACGAAAATGATATATCATTTGACGTCAAATCCATTATGGTTGTCGCATATCCGCGGATAAGTCGATCCTGGGCGAAAATTTACTTTTTTTTTATTTTCGATATAATAATATAGCTATATTTTTTTTTTTTTTTTCGTTCTAAAAAACGCGATTTTAGTTAACGAATGTCGTTTTTTTCGGTTTATTACTAATTAAAATTGTAAAATAGTGCAAACCCGTTATTACGATAAAAATTATGTAAATTACGGCAATGTCATTCGGAATATTATTCGGTGTAAATCTTTTTTTTCTCTTTACGTTGTTTATTTGTTTTGATATTTTGTAATTAAATAAATTAGGTTGATATTTTTGAATAAACATTTTTATTGAAGTGTCTTCATGCAATAAACAGTAAACAATATAAATTGTAATACATCTCTTTATGAAATATAACGTATATAATAGATACTAGATAATACATATTCAGGTATAAATAATATTAAGATAACCTATTAGAACTATCGAATTTCCAATACTTTATTTTTATAAATTAAATAAATATAAAATTTCTTTCAACAAATTATTTCGAAATAAAAATTTTGCTTTCAAAAAATGATCAACGACTGTGGAATTATAGATTGGTACAAATGTATGCACTATTTTTCCAGATAATGTTATTAGTAACACATGTTTGATAATTACCTTGTTCTAACAATAATCGATCATCATGTATGCTCTCCTGGTTACAGAACACGGTTTGAACACGGTTAACCAGCAGACGGTTAGAAATAAGATTGCATTAAAATTGACAATTGGTTTAATTTCTCAAAAAATAATTAAAAAAAAAATTTTTCTTCTAATTAGAAAACTATTTATAGATAATATTATTATTATATCAGCTAAGTTCTAAATACCCTGTGCCGAAGTTACATGAAGCGGATACGCAGATTTCGAATTCGTTACAGTACTACGAAGAAATTATTTAATTTATCATGGAGAAAAACATTAACTGAATATCATTATGGAGAATTCATAATGAAATACTATGTGAAAATATTTATTTAAATATATCATTTTATTCATTTTGACATATGAATATAAATTTAATAAAACTAAAATTCACTAAATAATATTAATTGTACATCAACTTCACAATAAACATTTTTTAATAAATTAAAAATATTTCAATAAAGTAATAGTGTTTGTTTTAATGAATCTTTACCTTCATATTTTTCATCAAGGAAATCTATTCGTTCAGGATCCAAAGTTACACCAATAATTGAAAAGAGCTGTTGCTGATCGGTCTTTTGTAAATGATGCTGTAAGTACGTACTACTTGCAGAATTCAGATGACACAAATATCACTTTGCATTATCTGATTTCTTACAATACTAGGATCAGTCTTTGAGTTAAAATTTAGGAATTTTATTCAATTAACGTGGCTTTAATGTTCTTAACTTGATCACTATGATATTTGGACATTTTTCTTTAAGCTAAATATTAAAATAAGTTGTTGTTTAACCATTTAAGAAATTAATTAGGGTGATATTTGTAACGCAGTACAGAAAAAAATATACATACCATTGAACTAATAGCAGAACAAAAAAAGCATACATTGGTCAGATTGTATCATTAGTCGCATACGCTCATCTTCAGACGGATATTCATTTTCAGGAAATAAAATCGGCAATCATATATTTCCAGTATGGCTATACAGTATAAATAAATATGTTTATAACAATCAATATTATTTTTGTGATTTCTAGAACCTTTAAATGAATTTCCAACATCAATTTCTCAGTTGCTTTAAACCTTTTACATCAATTTGTGTTTCTTGACATAGTGTTTCGATCCGGGCAGAAACCGTCATCCGGATAAATTAAAAAAAATATCCGGTTTCTATCCGGATTATCCGACTCGGATAAAAATCCGGATATATCCGGGTAGAAACCGAAATCCGGATA